GTTTCCTGCTTCACTCCTATTACAATTTTTCCACTCTCTGTCGTAACCCTACCTCCCACTTGAAGCATCATCCAAAAAAACTCGTGGAATTCCGCATAAATTGAGAATCATAGTCCTAACCCATTCGGACGGTATTTCTGATTTGCAGTTTGTTGCTATTTTCAGGTTTAACCTTAGTTTTTCTAACTGCATGATTATTTTTGCATGCAGCTTACCGATTTATTGCTTTTAGCGTGCTTTGATAATTTCAGGTCAAGTAGCTTGCTAAAAAAAAATGAGTTTTAGTAAAATATCTATTTCGGTCTATTCCAATCCATTCCACCATCTTCCTTCTCTAAATTTATTCCCTACTTCTTTGTATGATTTCGCATTTGATCATCTTTTAAACAATTTCAGTTTTGAGTACATTCAAGCATTCAATATTTTACATTTTCCGCAATATCATCCAATATTTTACATTTTCCGTGTTTGTTCCAAAATCAAATATTTTCAATTAAAAAAAGTGTTTCAGCAAAAACATGTGAAAAATTCTTGAGCCACTTTTTGCTTTTACTATACATTCTCTGATACTTTAATCAGTTAAAATTCATCTTTTGATCCGCCATTTATGCAGCTAACTTTTCAATGCCTTTGACCAGTGCTACTTCTCCTGACGATCAGCGTGATAAGGGATCCTGACGTTTTTTTCTTCGTCTTCTGATACCACACTTTGATCAGCCGCAGTTTCATGGTTAAATTCTGCAGCTACGCAGCTAACAACTTTCCGTGATTAGTGCTACATCGCCTATTGCCGATGCTGACATATTTTGAGCTCTTTTTGGCTCATTTGATCAGACTAAAATCAGCTCTCCTTTTACGGTTTTTGATGTAGCAAAAGCAAATTCAATCGTTTGCATTGGTCATTGGTCGTCATTTACTTTCGTTTCAGCTGCAGTTTCACAGACTGCATCCAAACATGTCTTCTTGCACATGTTACTTAGACACATCCCTTATCTCTTACTCTTTTATTTCAAACGCAGATTTTCAAAACTCAGGATTTACGTTTTATTTAGGATCTGGACTTTTCCTTCTTTTACCCTAAAAATACTTTCTGGTGGAGTGCAGCATTTTTCCTTTCTGCAGATTGTTTCTAGAAATATTATTGTGGCCGTAGAGTTAGGATACCTGCGTCTATAGACACAGAATGCTTGAATTAGCTGTATTTCTTATATACCTGGTTCTGGACTATCTGTAATTCATAGTGGCACCATGTTGAGAACAACCCAGGCTGGAACGCACCGGGCGGGCCCGTGCGATCATGCGTTTTTGCACCGGACTTGAATTACTCAGGTCATTAACTGGTGAATGGCTGTTGCTTTTCACATAACTTTGCGGTCACTAGAATAAATCACCATAAATTTTGCAAAGCAAATGTACAATTTCCATTTAAAAGT